GCCCCTTTCTTCTTTTTTTTTTTTTTTTAAAGATTTATTTATTTGTGCATACAGAGCTGGGGTACAGGCCAGAGGCTCAGGGGCGGTGAGAGGCTTCACCAGAGACAGAGGGGGGGGGGCAGAACAGGCAGCTCAACGAAGTACACTGCTGAGGGGAGCAGCGGGGGGTCAGGAGAGGTCTGCCATGCCATGTGGTGACCTCCAGGGCAGGCGGGAATCGAACTCATGCTGAAGTGGCTTTAGCTTCTTAGTGCTGTGTTTTAACCCACTGCACCCCAGGGAGGGCCCCCTTTCTTCTTTTTTTCTGAATTTTTAAAAAATTTGACACATTTGGCATGCTGTAGAAATTTAAGGTATTCAGAGAGCTACTAAGTACATTTATATATGTAACTGACGTTAAAGCAGTATTACATGTTTATAGTACATTATTGTGTATACTCAGTATACTGTGTATTGGATTTCTTATGGCTTACTTACTACTTGTTACATTAAAAGTTTGTATCCATAAACCATCGATTTTATCCCTCCACCCACATGGTACTCTCAGCCTTTTAAAAAAAAAGACAGACCTGACTTTGTTGATTACCTATTTGAGTGATGTACAGTTCTTTGTCTTTCTCCATCCGACTTATCCATTTAGCAAAATGCCCTTAAGCCCCACCCATGTTGCTGAAATGGCAAGATACTCTCCCTTCTCATGGCTGAAAACTACCCCATTGTGTGTGTGCACCGCATCTGTTTATCCACTTACCTACTGATGGGCTGGTGGGCAGTTCCAACTCTTTCCTTATCTTGACTTGTGAATGACACTGTGATAAACATGGGTGTGTATATATCTTATGAAATCTTGTTTTAATTTACTTTGGGTAGACCTAGAAGTGGACTTTCAAGTTCATATGGCAGATCTACTTTTAGTTTTTTAAGGGACTTCATATTGTTTTCAGAGTGGTTGAAGACGTTACATCCCCACCTGTGTGTAAGGCTTCCATTTTCACTTCTTCACCAGCACCTGTGGCCTCTTGTCTTCTCAGTCACTCTCACAGGCATGAAGTGATTGCTCATTGCCCGTACCCCTCCATCAAAAGAGCATCTTGGTAAGGTGCTTTTTCTCTCTCAGGCAGTGAGCATCCCTTTGTTCTACCTAACTAGTGGTATTTTTTCAGTCCATTGTTGTCATTTGAATTTCAAATTAATGAACAGTTGAAGAACAAGATGGGATTTTAGCCTCCTCCGAGACAAATACAAAGTCAAAATCAAACAAACAAAAAGAAATAGGCCAGTCACATTCTGTTGTCATGAGCTCTCACATAATCCTGACCTTCTAAAATGTCAGATCTCTTTTAACTCTAGTTTCCCTAACTTAATAAGGCTAGTGATAGAAACACTATTTCAGTTCAAATTAGCCTGGAAGGAAGTCATCATATTATTTCCTGAAGTCTATTTCAAAATGTTTTATAAAAATTTGTGGCACATACTTATTAGATGAATTATTAATTAAATTAATAATTTAGGTTTGCGCTCTCACAGTAGTTAGTTATATCACTTTAGCATATTTCCTCCACACACTAACAGGATTTTTTTTTTTTAATTTCTGCCGTTCAGTCTCTGAACTCCCCCGATCCCTTGGCATTTTTTGTTTAAAAAAACACCAAGTGTAATGTTTCTGGTTTTGAATGCATCGTCTTATCTAGAATTATAGAAACAAATGAAAAATGATGAACTTTCAAAAGTAAGTAAGCTGACATCATCTCTGTTTTGTGAGCCCAATAGATTTCTAGAAAGCTTATTATTGTGCTTCATGACCCTGCTCTCTCTGCACACTAAGTAACTTTCTGATTATTTCTGACTTCCCAACTACATTTTCCTATGGGGTAAAGTATGGTAACATGAGAAACCTTGATAATTTTATTTATTTTTAAAGATTTATTTATTCACACAGAACTGGGGTACAGGCCAGCGGCTCAGGGGTGGTGAGAGGCTTCACTAGAGACAGAGCGGGGAGCAGAACAGGAAGATCAATGAAGCACACTGCTGAGAGGAGCAGCGGGCGGGTCAGGAAAGGTCTGCTGCACTGTGTGGGTCACCTCCTGGGGCCGGGATCGAGCTCATGCTGAAGTAGCTTTAGCTGTCTTAGTGCTGTGCTTTAACAAACCGTGCCACCAGGGAGGGCCCAGATAGTTTTATTTTTGTTGTAATTTAATAAATTTCATCATGTATTTAAATTGAACAGAAATAGGAGAGACTGTATACAAGCCTTAAACTGCTTCTATCATGTACTATCATCTTCGATCTATTCTGAGTAGTCTCATCCTTTATCCAGGGTTTTCAAGCCCTGAGGTAGAGAAAGCTAGCAATCTCTGGATCTGTACCCCATAAATTTTCTCTGTGGCCCCTCTTCTTTCCCCCAAGTGAACTGCTCAAAAAATTTTAAATTTTGTTCTACCCTGTCTGTAATGAACTTGATTAAGAACACAGTAAACCTGGAAGCTCCCTTACTACGTCAGGATTGGGTGCCTTTTGTGTCAGAGCGGAGTGCTTAACTGTTTTCCCCTACACCTGAGCTAGATGCCCAGTAGCCCTCAGCAACAGCAACTCACTGAGGCTGAGACTCCTATAGGTGGAAGAGACCTGATACATCCTGGATTTGAACCTGTATACACACGCCCCCTCTTGATTCTGATCTCTGGTGAGCACTAATTCTAAACTCCAATGTTGAGATTTGCTTTTTCTATCTAAAGTGCCCCGAATTCTTATTACATCCAAATTTACATTAGTTGGATTTCCTTTACCTGGAAAATCATCTGGGTATTAAACTACCAAATTTTAAGGGGTCACTTTCTAGTCTATGATCTTACAAACTTTCTCAATTTCTGTGTCCTTTGCAAAGCCTATTGCTTTTTTTTTTCCTCCTATTTTAATTCCATGGAAAGAAAACTTGATTATTCAGTCATCGAGAGTTTTTAGACAATGAAAAACAAATCTCCATAACCCATGCCCACCCTCCCTCTGTGATTGATTGATACATAGAAAATAGACAGGCAAATCCATATGTATACACACAGTTGTATCATAGCCCTTGGAACATCCCTCTATCCAGGTATGAATGGCAGACAAGTGAAAAATAGCCAGTGGTAGGTACGTTTCCCAATAGAGAACACAGAGTTGTCAGTGGACTTACCCTTAAATATACTTACACTTCTACTGAAAAGGTCAGAAGGAATTATTTATTTCAGATTCTTGTCTGAAAAAAAAAAAAAACAAAACAAAACATAAATTGCAACCTTCATTGCCTTGAAGGGGTACTGAGTGTTGTATTTTCTGATATTTAAAGGAAGCAGCAAGCTCAGCTCGCTTATAGATCTTGACTGGTTGGTCTACTCTGTATAAAGTGTTGTCTCTCTCCTTAGCTTCCTCTCTCCTTCAGCTTCCCTAGGACTTTGTGTGTGGGAGTTTTGTTTTTGCTACTGTGATCAGCTCTTGCCCAGAAATCATTCACTGTCTCTCTTCACTTACAAAGAATATGTTTTGATGATTGGTGAGGTTGCATTTGCCATCAAGTTTTAGAGGTAGTAGATACTGAAGAATAACTAAATCCATTAGTCCCAGATTTGAGATTCCTAAAATCGCTTTTGCAATTCTCTTTTACTCTAAGATGACATTAGCATTGACCGTTCTCCATTTCTGTTCACTTTCCTTCAGGCATCTTTGTATTACAGTATTGACAAAGTAGGCAAGTTCAGCTGTGTCTAACCTCTGAACTAGAAAAACATCACTGAGTAAATCATTAAAGATAGGGTTGTGAAACAACACATCATTCTTAAACTGGACCAGTCAAACTTTTTATGAACATTATCTTATCCTTTTAACACACCCTTAAGAATTAGACTTTGCACAGAGTCTAGAAAGACAAAATGGTCAAGGTCATACTAGCCATTTTCACCCAAGAGAGAAACGTAAAACTAATTTAGGTAGTTGGAGGTCAAGTTTCCCTCTTCTGTAGTCCTCCTTCCTGCTTGTTAGCGATGGTGGTGGCGTATTTCTGGGAATATTTCATTGAATTATTAGAGTCCTGTTAAGCAGAAGAAACATGAAATCAAATAGGTGATTGCAGAACCTGTGATGAATTACTGTTCTTGTGATGCTCTTCTATACTCAGATGTGAAGACGCTGTAATAACGAATACCAAACTAGCATGTCATGGTTCCCCCTTAGGGGAAGTGGAAGGAAACACTCCCTTCGCTGGTTTCTCAACTTACTACCTGAGAGTATTCTGCATCAATGAAAATGCTAATTTATGCTCTATTAAAGGTCTAAGGCTAGTGGAGAAGTAAGTAGACGCAGAAGTAAAGGCACGCTATTTAAAACTTAGAACTGAACTAATACCCATATTTTTCAAACATGAATAGCATAGTAACAGAATTAAAGTCCTGAAGGTAAGGGTATTTTTAAATGTAAATATTCAAATGAAATGAAATTAATCTAAACTTAGATTCTATTGAGAAAATTCCTCAAGGAAATTAAACATGGTAGGAAGCTGTATAATTCAGAGGGACAGTCAAAAGTGATTTTATTACTATAGTTATAAAGTTAGTTATGACAGGGCCATTTAATACTAACCCGGGCAAAGGTTAGTATTAATGCCCAAGTTCTCAGATGTAAATGAACCCTCGAGCATGCTCATGCGTGTGTCTCCCTAAGAATATCTCAGACTCTTATAAACATCTCAGCAGAATGTCTTCAGACACATGTACACCCTGTCCACCACGAGGCCCCCTCTTTACTACCATAATCAGTGCTTCAGTCCCCTTTGAAAGATTTGACTTTAGTTGAAGGTAATTGAAAAATGCAACACTATTATTGAGCCATGTAACAGCAGCGGAACCAAGTCTTAGAACCATAAAAGAAGTTACATCCCACCTGTGGGTTAATTATAAAATTTTTGGATTCTATACAAACATCCTTTTATAAGAAAGTGTGCCTCATTTTCCATCAGAGCACCGATGTTATTGGGGTATGTGCCAGGATTTCATGAATATCCAAGCCTATTGTTAATTCCAGACACTAAACCCTGCTTCCAGAGCACAACCACAAGCGTGAGGCTCTCCACAAGATTTTCACAGGCTTTGGTAGTGGTTTGTTCTTTTTGGTTGGAGAGAACCATTTATTGCTTTCAGTTATCTTCTCCAATATGTTGCCATAATCTCTCTTAATCTTTTTTATTAGACCTTGGTCAACCTTTTCCCTCGTGTGTGTGTGTGTGTGTATGTTGCTGACATGTACCTAGAGTATATACCGTGTATTGAAAAGGCAGTAATATCCCAATTATTTATAGTCACCATCAAAAGCCTTAGGAATATGTCCAGTAACCAAAAACTGTCTCTGTCTCTGAACAGTTGAAATGCTTACAAAGCCCATGTACTTGATTTTGTAAAACTATTGTTTAAACCTTCATTCAGCGCCTATTTAGTCAGGCACTAGAGAGGTGATTTCTCAGGGACAATCACTCTAACCATAAAGGAGGGGGCTCGTAAATGCAACTACTATTGGGGACCAAATAAATTTTAATAAAATATAGATATACACCTCTCCTAACTAAAACACACACACTAAGTATTCTTGCTCCGAGTTTTTCTACTTGCTTTGGTCTTTTCTTCTCTCTTGGCCCCATTGTTGCATGTACTCTAAAATTCACCTCTTACAACACTTTTCGTGATGTATTTAGAATTTAATGATCAGCTTCAAATTTAAAGTAGACATTTTCTGACTCTTTCCAATCTGCAGTCTAATGCTGTTCCATGGAGCTCTGAATAAAACTATTATCTTACAGTTTTCTCATTCACAACATATTTTTGACAAAATAACTTTTGTTTTGCAATTAGAAATGTTTCATCAATTTTATTTGCCACTTGGTCTTAACCTATGCTCCCTGAGTCAACAACAGAGAAACTAAAATTGAGTACCTGCTCTTTTCTGTGCTTCCTGTGTATTATCTAATATCTCATAACTATCCTTTGAAATATTAAGATTCACTTCCAACTTACAGGTGAGACCAAGGCTCAAAGAGGTTAAGTAATATGTCTAAGATCCTGCAGTAGTAAATTTCGAAGCATAATTTCCTATTCTACAACTGTGTACTCTTTCTACCAAAACCACTCTGCTCTAGAGGACAGTAAGGGAGTAGACTGTCCGTGGTCCCCTAAAGAGAGGGGCTAGGAGGAAAAAGTCGAAATCTGTAGTAAAACAAACTTAGGAATGCATGTGCTCAACACACGTGTGAACAGCCCTTGGTATGCTGCCATGTTCCCTAGAGAGTCAGGCCAAGGTCTCTTGAGGACTTGCGATCCAAAGAGAGAGGGAGACTGAGAAAATGTGTAAAACTCAAGAAAATTGGAGCACTCAACTGCACGGACTTAGGAAAACCAAGACATCCAGAAACACAAATCAGTTCTTGAAAACCCTTCAAGGATTTCTAAGCAGGACCTGCCTTTAGCTTGTCTTGAATCTGGTTTTCTTTCTTGCCAACCTTTCTGTCCAGGTTAAACTGTAAGAGTTGTCCTGGATAATGTGTGGGATTTCTTGGAAAGATATCTTTAATCTAGACAGATTTGTATGAATGGTTGTAAAACATATTTCAGGCAAGTGGAGTTTGACTAGAGATATACTGCTACTGCCTTGCATTTGACAGAGCCTTTCATTTCTGTTCCATCACTTAAAGCAATTAGGAATTGCTTGTCATTACATCTTTCACTGTCTGCAATGTAAAATTACTGATTTCTAACCCCCATGCCTTCAAAGGATGGGAGGATCCCTGCATTGCTGCCAGCAGAGTCCTCAAGTGCAGACAGTTGGTCAGACTGAGAAACCATGTTAAAACCATAAGTTTTCGAAATATTCTAAACCAGGGTTTGTGATACAGTATATTTGAATTTTTGTCAATATTGTGGACTTAGAAACTAGAATTATTGAACAAAAATAAGCAGGCTTAAAGCAAAAGCGTATGTTAACCAGTAGAGTTAATATGGCCAAGATTTTTTAAAAACAATTATTTTCAATGATATTTCTTCTCTATAAGATCTCTAGGGATTATATGTGAATGCTAAAAGTATCAAGGAGTATGTCACTGAAAGAATGTGTGTGTGTGTGTGTGTGTGGGGGAGAGAGAGAGAGAGAGAGAGAGAGAGAGAGAGAGAGATAAAATCAGGTCAGCTTTAGGTAAATACTGTCCACATCTGTTGAATCAAAAGTATAAGGGCACTTGAAGTTTTGGCCAGAGTCTCTAGTGTCTTTACAACAGGAATAAGGCCTAGTGAATTTCATCATGCAGAAATGATTTTTTGGAAAAGGGCCGTACTAATTACTTCTTTCTCTTTGTCTCTCTAGGGAGAACGCAACAGAAGCACTAGCAGTAGATTCTAACAATCAGTCGAAGTCCCCACTGGAGAAATTTATGGTCAAACTGTGCACGCACCATCAGAAGCAGTTCATTCGTGTTCTGAACGACCTCTACACTGAGTCTCAGCCAGGCACTGAGGACCAGCAACCTTCTGGCTCTGGAGCAATGGACACGTCCACTTGCAGTGCTGGCTGTACCCAGCTGAGCACCAAACGTAAGGAACAGGATGCAGTGTGTCTTGATATGAAGTCTTCTACTTCTGTTGATTTATCTGTAGACTCATTGGGCGCTCACAGCCCTCTACGCTTGACAGAACAGGCCCTGAAGGAGCCGCCCCCCGATACAAACTCTGTAGATGGAAGAGAAAATGCCTTGACTCTTGTCCAGAAAGATTCCTCTGAACTTCCAACCACTAACCCCACTTCTGGTAGTTCAATGGATAGTTCCTCTCTGGGATACCTCACTGCATCTAATTCTTCTTCGTTAAACTTCCACCACATCTCAAAGAGCTTAGAGGGTCAAACCACTGGACAGGAGCAAGACACAAATGTGAAAATATGTGAGGATGGTAAAGACCATCTGCAGAGTTCAGCTTTAGTGGATAGTCTGATTACAGTCAAGGCGGCAGCTGAGAACAGCGAGGAGAGTAACAGTGGGATTATTTCTCAAAGAAACTCATTCAAAGATTTATCAGGAGAGGCTTGGGACTCTGAGTTTGCGGGGAATTCACCGAGAACTGCTGACAAAGAGAATGCTTTACAGTGTAGCTCAAAAACATCTTTGCACCAGGATTTTGAGGCAAGTGAACAAGATTCAAGGCCAAAGCAAGAAAACCATCTTCATTCACTAGGAAGAAATAAGGTAGGTTACCATTTACATCCCAGTGATAAGGGTCAGTTTGAGCATCCCAAAGATGGTTGGTTAGCTCCCAGTCCCATGCCAGCTGTACACAAAGCATCTAATGGACATCCGAGAACCAGGATGATATCAACCTCCATTAAGACAGCTCGGAAAAGTAAAAGGGCATCAGGGTTGAGGATAAATGATTATGATAACCAGTGTGATGTTGTTTATATCAGTCAGCCAATAACAGAATGTCATTTTGAGAATCAGAGATCAATACTATCTTCTCGGAAAACAGCCAGAAAGAGTACTCGAGGATACTTTTTTAATGGTGATTGTTGCGAGTTGCCAACTGTTCGCACACTGGCCAGAAATGTACACTCCCAAGAAAAAGCAAGCTGCTCAGTAACAGCATCAGAGGTCAGTCCCAAGCAGACCCTTACGATTCCAGCCCCTAGACCTACAGAAGATGCTCAGCTTCCCAGAGGAGACAACCCTGAAGAACCTAATAAAGAAATAACCTCCCTCAAGGAAGGAGACCGAGATGCTTCCTCTGAAAAGGAATCTCAAGAACCTGAGGCTTGTGCCATGACCAATGAGCAAAATCTGAGCAGCTCCCCTGGGTCCAAGGAAGCAGCAACCTCTGGCCTGGTGTGGCCTCTCCCAGTCCCCCCTCCTGATGAGGATATGCCAGAAGGCAGCTCCATGCTCCCAGCTCCCATACCCAGTGGGCTGCCTTCCCCTGGGCGTGACCAGCAACCTGATGAACTGCTGGAGACAAAGGAGATGAGTGTACCCCAGGACTACGCCCTGGCTCCCTCCACTGAGAGTATTTGTGAGGGAGCCAGTGAAGATGTTGTTTCCAGTCCTCCTTATTCTCCTGGAACAGTCTGTAAAGAAGAAAGTCCTCTGTGCTCCGAATACCAAAGTCCGCCAGTGGATGTGGAGCCTCCCTTGAGCCCGGAAAGGGCTGAGGACAACCAAAGGATCAGCACTGAAGCCAAGGCTGAAGACACTCAGGAGCTAGGCAACGACCCACTCTTAAAAGAAAACAGCACACTGACAGATGAGGACACCAGTGAAATTGAGGGCAGTGAGGCAGCAGGTTGTACAGGAAAATTAGGAGGAGAGGGAGAAGATGGAAAATATCCTTCGGAAAAAGTTGTGTGTGATGCAAACATTGACTCACCCGAAGAGAATTTAGACAAGAAGAAAAAAGCTAAAAAATTCCCTGAGGCCTCTGATCGGTGTCTAAGAAGTCAACTTTCAGATTCTTCCTCTGCTGACAGGTGCCTAAGAAGTCAGAGTTCAGATTCTGCCTCCAATTATGCTGAGATTAAGGTTTCTAAACCTGCTGGTGCAAAACGTTCTAAAAAAGATGAGCAACCAGGTGGGACAACACCTGACGACTTCCGACCCGACAGTTTCCATGCAAAAGCTCTGGAGGGCACGGAAAACCCAAACGTGCGTGAAAATCCCTCTGAGAAAGTTGCAGAACAGGAGGGTGAAGGAGGAGGGGTCATTACTAGGCAGACTTTTAAAAACATGCTGGCAAAAGAAGTCAAAGAGGAAGGAGGTCACTTCCCCAGTGGTGACCCCTCAGCCACAGCTGTTCAGCCCTTACCTGGAGAGAGACTGGAGATCTACGTTCAGTCTAAGTCGGATGAGAAAACTGTCCATGATCCCTCAGAAAGCATTCCTTGTACCTTCCCAGAACAATCAAAAGAGAAGCCAGGACCACTTCCTACGCAGGATGTGGAGGAGGCCGCAGAGGAGGGCAGCAGTGCACACACCCAGCCCAGAGAGGATGCTGAGGTGGCCTCAGGTGCACTTGCATTGTCGAGCAGTGGAAGTGGCAATGGTGCTGGCCAGGCAAAATGGGCGCCAAGGCCTACAAGACTGACCTCTTCAACCTACAACCTAAGGCATGCTCATTCTCCGGACTCCTTGGAGACTACAAAAGCGACTTTGGAAAAGGAAGCCGCAGGAGGACACCCGGCACCAAAGGAAAGTGAGGCTTCCGAGAGCGGAGAGCCCGAAGGGGAGGGTGATGTGGACACAGCCGGAGATGACCAGCCCAGGTTTGTGGAGTGGTGTGCGGAGGAGGAGAACCAAGAGCTCATCGCCAACTTCAATGCCCAGTACATGAAGGTTCAGAAGGGCTGGATTCAGTTGGAGAAGGAAACCCAGCCAACACCAAGAGCAAGGAACAAGTCAGATAAACTGAAGGAGATTTGGAAAAGCAAGAAAAGGTCACGAAAATGTCGGGGTTCTTTGGAAGTGCAGAAGTTTTCTCCTGTTCAGATGCTGTTTATGACAAACTTTAAATTATCCAATGTCTGCAAATGGTTCTTAGAGACAACAGAAACCCGGTCTCTGGTAATTGTGAAGAAGCTCAATACTCGTCTTCCAGGAGACATCCCCCCTGTGAAGCATCCTCTGCAGAAATACTCTCCTTCCAGCCTGTACCCTAGCTCATTGCAGGCTGAACGCTTGAAAAAACATTTGAAGAAATTTCCTGGAGCAACTCCAGCTAGGAACAATTGGAAAACGCAGAAGCTCTGGGCTAAAATTCGAGAAAATCCTGACCAAGTGGAGCCAGAGGATGGCAGTGATGTCAGCGTCAGCCCCAGTTCTGAGAACATTATAGAGGAGGTCAAGGAAGGCAGAAGCAGCCATCCCCCCACAAACTCGCCTACCCCTGCCAGCACCCGGATCCTTCGAAAATATTCTAATATTCGAGGAAAGCTCCGGGCCCAGCAACGACTGATCAAGAATGAGAAAATGGAAAGCCCCTTCGGCCCTACCGTGGAGAATAAACAGAGTTTCAAAAGTGTATGTATCAACCCTCTGATGTCCCCCAAGCTGGCCCTGCAGGTGAACGCAGATGGGTTTCCTGTTAAGCCCAAGAATATTGACGGAATGAAGGGAAGGAAAGGGAAGCAGCCACCCAAAACCTTGCCGAAAACAGACGTTCAGAACAAACGCAAGAGAACCGAAGGCAGCAGCACTCAGGACAGAAGGGACAAGGCGTCAGCCCCGAAAGCCAGCAGGGAGAAGCACAGCGACGCGCCCAGCAGAGTCCCTGCCGCCAAGAAGCCGGCTGCAAGGGACAAGGTCAGCCCGCCGCCCAAAAAGCCATCTTTGAAAGAAAAAGCGAAAGTCCCAAAAAAGCCCTCTGGGAAGAGCTGCCTTCCCTCCAGGAAAGAAAAAGAGAATGCCAACAAAAAACCCACCCAGCCCACCACCTTGGAGACGGCCGCGAAACCTTTAAAGCCAAAAGGGTCGAGTGAATCTTCTTCAAGGTCACAGAAAGCCACAAGCAGGAGGCAGAGTAGTGGAAAGACCCGGGCCAGACCCTTGACGAAAACTCCGGAGAACAGTGCAAGCCAGAGAAAGCGAAAGCTGAAGGCAAAGCTGGACCCTTCCCACAGCAAACGGAGACGTCTGGATGCCAAGTGAGTCACAGGGCGGTGACCAGGAGTTAAGACTGGGCTCTAGAAAGTGACCCCTTATTTTGCATTAACTAAATCTGCTTTTATAAGCTTATCAAGCCTTTCAAGTCTGCAGTTAATGGAGAAGGCCACATTTAAGATGTCAGAAAATGCATCTCAGATGGAGAAGGGAACTTGCAGAGTCTTTCTCTGAGGCTGAGGAAGGGAAGCGTTATATATTATATTCTGGTTGTTCCTTGGGTTTTAAACTTGGAACTAAGCAGTTTTAGTTTTTGAAAGTACAGTGCCTTATTTATCCTTTTTGTTTTTAAATTTACAAAAGCTAAAAAGCTGATCTTTGTGATTAAAGGCTTGTATTTTATACTTGATGCACAAGCACTTGCACTGTAGCCGAGAAGACCACCATCATGCACGGAACAGTAGCTTTTCAGCAGCCACCTTGCGGCATCTGTCTACAAACAGATGCTCTTTGCCACCCCCAGCAGTGACCTGCCCTCTCTGTCTTGTTTGTGTAAGCGATCATTGAGAGCTAAACCAAATCATTTTTCTGGCATGGAGAGGATGCAGGATGCCTGTGGAGAGGATGCAGAGGGAATTGGTGATTATTATAAAAGATTAGTATTTCTGTTATCCCTTTGTTAAAATCGTGTTCATTGTGTTCACCCCTCACCTTTGACTTTTTTCATTTTGCCACTTGAGAACCTGCTTTCTAAATTTGGTGCCTCTTGGACAACAGGTGTGTCAGATAGTGTTAATAGCATGCATGACCTCTACAAATATATGTGTAGCCCTCGATTTATTTGCATTATTGATTCTCACCATCCTTTTCATTTTTGCCTTTACAAGCTTGCTAGCTAATTTTCATCCTAATCTGGGGGTTGGAGGGAAACCAGGGGTTTTCTTGTCTCATCCTGTACCTGTAATTTGACAGTTAGATGAGGATGACAGTTCTAATTTTCTTTCTTACCCGCTGAGTATTTCTGTATTCAAAGAAAGCCAAAATACCAATTTCCATTCACAGCAAAGTTTAAGAATGTTTGTGTGCTTGTGCATGTGGTTGCATTCATATACGGTTATCAGCCACAGATGTCTCCCAACTCCGGTTCTACAGTTCTGTGTGGTTTGCTGAGGTGTTCATGAGCTGGGTCCCTAGCACAGGCCAGATGCTTTGAATGTGGTCTGGGGTCTCAGTGAGCATCCTCAGAACCACTCTGGCACTGGACTTAGGAAGGGGTAAAAGCATCAAGTTCCGAAAGGTCAGAACAGCCTTGGCATCGGGGGACACAGCTCCAGCACCTCGTAGTTGACCCGCACAAGCCTATGCCAGAGTTGGTGTTCAGCTGACACTCTCTACGTGAATGTCCGTGTTCAGAGCGGGTGTCCGCTCTGATGGGTTCGCACCATACTCGTGTCTTATACTTGTGGCATCACCCCGCCCTCGCCATGTCAGGCTCTGAAGTTCCTTGGCTCGAAAGCCAGACTGCAATAAAGATGTTTGCCTTTCCCAAGAGAAGCCTGAGATGGGTACATTATAACCCGCGATGGCCTTCACTTGGCACCAGTAACATTGTTCCATTTTAACAAAGCATGTGTTTGGCATTTCTGTTGGTCCACTCTACAGAAATGGCTTGGTTAGGGTTGTGCCAGCTGCTCTGACATACTCCACCATCAAAGTAGGTTGGTGTGGGCAGTGCTGCTGTCCCTTCTATTTAAAAAGCTCCTATTTAGATTCTTTCAGATCTGTTTTAGATAAACCCCAGTGGACTCTTTTCATGCATTAGTTCATTCAGATAAAACAGGCCTTCTACCCATTCTGTTAAAGGTTCATTGTATATAATGAAAACTGATCGGATAGGACTGAGAAAAGCATTTGGAGTGAATGAGAACTTACAGAGTGAAGCTTACTCTCATCAGTGAAGTCTTGACCTCCCCCTGATGTCGCCTCTATCCCTTGAGCTCTTTTTTTATTTGTTTTGTTTTTCTTTTTTAATGTCTTTGGCCAATTGAAAGCTACCTATCTTAATGAAACTGCTGAGTGTGTATCTTGGCAACCCTTTCTCAGCATTAAGTTGCACAGAAGCATTAATATGTTTTAAGTCATTTCCTTTAGTCTTAAAAAGCTTCATATCATTGTCACTGGATATTGTTTTTGTGGTGGCTTAAACAATTGATGTTTGCCCAGGTCAGATGTGCTGATTCACATGTTCAAGGTGCCCCAGTAGCTGCAGATAGAGTACTTGTAAGGGTGCTTGGGTTAGATTAGGGAGAGGTTTGAGGCAGTGAAGAGAGTGGAACATTTCCAGTTCCATATTTATAGTTCCTTTTCCAAGAATTTGTGTTACTTTGCCTTTATAAAGCTTATCAGGATATTAGCTTTCTCTCCCATTCTAGGCTGCATTTAAAAAAGGGTATGAAGGGTATGTATTTATTTTATACACCTAACAATGCCGTAGATCATCTTTAAAATCAACTTATACTTTATAGTAGTGACTACATTTACATAGACTGGGATTCTACATAATTAAGATACCTAAAGTTCCGACTTATTTTTATATTTATTGAATCTCAGTTTTGCTGATTCAGTTAGTTTTGCTAATCAAAGGAAGAAAAAACATAAATAAAACAAGGGCCAACCCTGGAAGGCCCTTTCACCTTACAGCAGATGCTGACCAACTTGTCTCCTTGACGCCTCCAAGACCAGGCGTGGTGTTGGCCAACTCCTCTTAAGTCAAGCACTCCTTCCTAAAGCCATAGCCACAGTATGGCTCGCCACCAGATGCAAAAGTAGTCACACACTCTGGATTCCAAATCAGAAAGAGATTCTGCCCCTGGGCCTAGCCTAGGCACATACTCAGTGAAATGACTGCCCGAGTGTTAGAGCTGAAGCTGACCAGGAGACACTGGTGTATCCTGAGCTCTGGGGGAGCTACCAGACGCCTGGGAAGCTATTACTAAGGCTCACTCATAGCTTCCCAGGGATGGGCCTTCTTCAGAAGACCAATTTTCTTACCTCTGAGGCTCCCTTGCCTTGGAAGGATACCATAGAGACTGCTGTCAGTTGAGGTCCACAGCCTCACCCCTACCACTTCCTCAGCCATGCAACAATGTTGCAGTGTACCAGAAGGTCTGCACTGTTTGGCTCGTGGGGCTTCCTGTGTAAGAATGTGAGTACTGTCCCCGATAAGCTGCATTGCTGGCCAGTCCCCTTGGTAGGCCAGTTCTGTTGTATCTGTTTCATTGAAGACTTACTTCTACGTAAACCATAGCTGACTGTGGGTTTCATAAACCTCACTCTTCATGCAGTGATGTGGCTAGAATAAGCACCACAGGGTGCCTCTCGTGGGATCCTCTGGGTTCCATACTGCCCAGGTGACTGTCTTGTTCAGATAGGTCATAAGCGAGCTGTGTCACTCCAAGACACAAGTTGAAATTTGGCTTATTTCCTGCCATGTGGGGCAATCTATGACAAGGACTGAAGCTGTCACTGAGTTAAGGCGCTGCGCTTACTGATGAGTGCAACTAGAAGCTAAGTATGAAAGCCTGGCATGCTGTTTGGTGCAGGCTGGGGGTACCGCAATGTCACCAAGTCTGATGTCCTGTTGCCACATTTGGGACTGGACCTGGATCTCACAAGGTCCTCTCCCAGGGAGCCGCACCCCCTCCAGGTTAGGTCAATCCCGGCAGGCTGTCTTCTGGCTTATAGATGATCTTCCGAGGATCAGCAGACTGGGCTGGTCACTCTTGTAAATAAAAGTTTCTTGGAATATAGCCATGCCCGTTCATTTGTGTGTTGTCTGTGGTTGCTTTCCAGCAGTTGAGTAGCTGTAGTAGAGACCATACGGCCTGCAGAGCTGTAAGATATGTACTATTTGGATCCTTGAGAAAAGAAATAGTTCGCTGGTCCCTGCTTAGAAAAAAAAAAAAACTTCCCAGAGAAATTCTCCCTGATTGATTTCCTTTGTTCTGCTCCTTTCTGTCCTTTTTTCTTCATCTTCCTTTTATCTTACATCAAGTTTATCCTTTTACCTTTGTGTATTTCTTCATATTGCAAAAGAGACACTTTTTATTAGTATAGCACATGGAATACCACCACCTAACCCTGAGCCTCATATCACATCTCTTTGGAATCACCAATCGCAGTAGCTAAAAACAAACCTACAGGATCGTAACCTAACAGTAAGTGCTCTTTTCTATCCTCCTCCTAAATCCTTTTGGGGGGTGGAAATGATGACTATTGTATGAGAATAAGCAGTGTTAGGAAAGCTTTTTGAGGTCACCTTCAATATTCATCCCTTGAAGCATTAACAACTGCTGTATTGCACAGTGGATGCTTGGAAGCCCTGAAAGGCTAACCTCTCCTTTAAAGACATAGAGTCACGCTCAGGCAGAAACCTAGAGTTCTCTGACGCTGCTTCCATCTCATGTTTTGCCACTCTTACTGGGAACCAGGGAACTCCCGTGGGCACTGTGGGGAGGATGTCTTTGCTCCTGCTTTTGCCCTTGGAAGTGAGCAAAAACTGGTTCATTCCTCCCCTTGCCTCCTCTGTCAGGTCCTCCTTCCACACACACAGCGCTGGTGGTTTCTGTTCAGTGCTCAGGAGACATCCTTTGCTCTGCACTAGAGGGACCCTGTGCTCGCCTGGTGAGCACAGTGACCACAGGCTTTCCCACCTGCCTGGGGTCATTCCATTTAACACTAGGTGCCAGCCACTGGCCAAAGGAAGTATGGACTGCCATTAAAAGAAAAAGAAGAAAAAAGAAAAAAAGAATCAGGCACGCACGTATTCATAATATGCCAGAGGTTGGGTGAATGCATTTTACCGTTTTTTTGACAAGGATTACAAAAAAAATCAGGTCGTATGTCTAAATACAGAATATTTACTACCTGATCCTGTAGAGAAAAGATACTCTCCTGGCACTTGCAGTATGTCATTCAAGATCAAATCATAGAGCAGTCAAGCACAAATTTCCTTTCATTTAGTCCAGCATGTCAATATTTCTTACCTT